CAGCTATTAATACAAAAATAATGTAGTGTGAATTTTATTCAATTCTGTCCTCTACTTTCTCTTATATATGCGCAAACGTGTTTTCCTTGATACGACTATAACTCTAAAACCGCACGTTCAATTTCGCTGAAATTTGGAGTGAAGTTAGGGATTTGTAAACAGATAATCAAGAATGTACCATTTTTATCAAATTCTATCCGGTATTTCCAAAAAAAATCTGCTTTCAGATCAGAAAATTTATTATTTGACACGCCTATAGTTTGAAAACGGTTCATTCGATTTGACCCAAACTTGGAGGAAATTTTCAGAATAGTATGGAAATTACCTATTATTAATTTAATTTAGTTCCATTTAATAATTAAAATTTATATAAATAATTGTTAACAATATAATGGATTTGCAATGTGGAAGACATTTACCATGTGGAGTGGGAGTTAGATTAATACAATATTTTTATGGGATTATAAAATTTTAGGTCTTATTCAAAAAGTTAATTTATACTGCGTTGTTTGGTCTATTCCAAACGTTACTGGCATGACACTTCCTACCGTTACTTAGATTTCGTGTGATTTTCCATTAATTAAAATTAATTATTACTAATGAGTTAGTAAAAATAAAGCCTTATTTGTGGTTGTGTTTATTTATATCAAAGTTCAATGAGCTCGTCGTGGTCTGTATTATATCCTTAAACATCAATGATGTGTGAACTCCGGGCTTATTTTTATATTCCAGCATAATTAGTTTTGTTCTGACTAAAAAAAAGTATTGATCTCGTTAATTCCGAACAAACAAAAAGTTTATTTTTTTCCTATGGATTTTTCTTTCCACCCATTTTACGAGTGAAAACATGCCTATTTAAGTATATATCACTACTGTTAAAGGTCGTATGTAAAAGTTTTAAATTGTTATTCTATTTTTGACATTATGCAGTCTGCAATTGATATAAGTAGTAAGTAGACTACTACTATGCAAAATAGCATCTCCTGGAATTACCGCACCCCTGACCAGCTCTTTCTCATATTATAGCACGGTTAACAATCTCTACATCATTATAAAATTATACTAATAAAGCATAAAGAAATAATTAGTTTTCATGCTCTTGAAACACTCAATTTTTACATACGACCTTATGCACTAACAGTAGCGATTTGCATATTCATTATGCATTTTAATTTTTTAAAATAAGAATTATCAAACATGGAATGTGAAAATGAGGAACTCTTTTTGCATATTATCATTTGCTTATAAACAAAACTCATGAATATCAAATCCGTACATGTTAAGGGATTACTGAATTTCCGAAAACGGCTTCTTTCAGAGCCTTTATTATCATACACAAAAATTTAGACCTTATAATATAGATATTTTTTTAGCAAATGGAAGGAGCTATACTGAAATTACTTGGCAGACGTTTTTTTAACATCCTTATTTAAATATTCTAAAAAGTTCAACGAATACTTATCAATAATTCAAGTTTTTATTAAACAGTTAAAAACAAAAGCCTACAAAAGTATAATAAATAATAATGTTTTAAATGTTGAAGGTAACTTATTTCATATTAATTTGAATTGTGAATCTAACCAGAAACAATTATTTAAATCGGAACTTGTATGATAATAAAAAAAAAACGGATCACGCAAAAAAAAAAAAATAATAATAAATCAATTAATATTGGCTGTTATGGTAATATTTCAGCAACCAAAAACCAACAAATATCATACATTCAGTTCTAGATATTAAAGCTGGGATAAATTTCTGACCTGTCGGAACACTTTATATCAGATGCTTAGGAAAATAATAGAAAATTTGATTTCTTTAAAAAGTTAGATTACACTTTTACTTTTACCTATCCTTGTTTACGCAAGTATTTACTTCCGTAATAGTTATTTAGACCCCGAAAAGTATGATCTAAAACTCTCTTGCAGTTCTGATTATCTTCAACTTAATGATTTTATTTTCGGCACTGTATTATTAAAAACTGTATTATCGCAATTGTAGGATAACGTTTATTTTCGACATGTTATTAGTTCCTGCAGGAGATCCGTACCTTTACAAAAGCGTGTTAGGACAATAATTCTTTACAGTTGTGTATTATTTTACGTCGCTTGTTATATAGAAATAGCTTACGGTATTGTCGCATTTTACACGGAACGTGTACGTGACTAAAGTTTGAAGTTATTTTAAAACATGACTCTAATAAATACTTATTATTTCCTGTTAAAATGGCGTTGCTTGAGAATGAACTTCATTTAATCGACACCAAAGCCATTGGTCGAAACGATTGTACTATTCAATAGGCTAATGAATAAATCCTGATTAATAATATTTTAATGCATAAAGCGTTATACATGTTAATTGACGTTTCCCAATTTCATTATAAACATTAGATATACTATGTTGGTAAAAACAATTTTTTAATCTTCAATTTATTCGCGAGAAGATTTGTAACCAATAAAACCATTTGTATTCATTCATTCAAAATTTCTTTCTCCATTTTTCATTATTTTTAGATTTTTTATAATAATCATTTTTTACATGTTTTTAATCAAGAGTCTCAATTGAATTAAGTATAATAAATAATATTGATTCAAAGAATCAATTGTCATGTTTTGTTGATAATAAAATATTATTGATAATAAACTAAAAATTGAAAAGATCGTCCCATATAAATAATTTAAGAAAAAACACTACTACATTAAATTAATGAATTATGTTTAAGATGACCAATCGTCGCTAATGACCAAAGTAGAAATGGAAGTGACGTTTGAAAAAAATAAAAAAAATATAATTCATTAATAATCATGTAATAAATAATTTTAATTATTTTTTAGCATTCTTACTTGTAATAAATATAATAATATCAAATCAAGGTATATAATATTTAATTATCTATTATAATAGGTAATAATTATTTTCCGATAGATTAATAGATTGATACATAATAACTATATTTTGTTATTTCACATTATTAATATTTTATTATTATATTATGTTACGAAAATAATTAGTTTCGTGTCTTCTTTCTTTTCGGATGGCTAATATGTAAACTTCTTAAACTAATATAGTAATTATTAAAGATTTTTGTTGGTATGTTTATTGATAGTTATAAAAAAAAAGTTTTTAATTAATGACTTTAAATCCCACTTAACTTTAATTTTAGTTTTTAAGCTCATTATTTTATTTTCGTATACTTCTTCATTTAAATACATACTCAGTTATCTGATCACGTTTCTGTTAGATTCCGTTTCTATTTTAATTCTTCAGATAATGAATATTTCTTTGTTCCTGATCAACAACACGAACTCAGCCACAAGGACTCCACAGCCTCCTGATGCAGGAGTATTTTTATTAGGAGAAATAAACGATCGTAGCAGAAATTTAAGCTGTCTTACGAAATCAAATTCCTTCTTGTAAAATCAACTTTTTATTTTAATATTTGCTGAAAAAGAGCGGGATTAGGGATCTCTCTTCAGGTCTTCTCTTATCCAAGGCCTTAGGCGTGTACCGCGTCCTTCCACATGCCTCACATGCCATTATCTCCTATATAATTATGTTAAATAGTGCAATAATTGTTTTCTTTTTTTTTCTTGAAACGTCAAGTTTTTCTTTAAAGAACAATTTTTATTATATGTTAAAAGTAGTTTAGAGGGTACTCGGCACTTATCAATGTCGCTGAAATGGACTATCCGTAGCTTTAAAATTGAGTTTTGAAAATTATAATATGCCTATAAAATAAAAATAATAATACTTAAACCGAATAATAATACAATATTTAAAAAATAATATAAACTTATTAATAAATAAAATAAAATAACATCTTAAACATAGGCATGCCTATAATATAGAAATAATTCTCTCCATTTTATTTTTTTTATTCATTCGCCAATTCATTTTTAATTTGATGTTGTCGAAAACCGATTATTTTTTTTTAATAATTTTTTTCTTATTTAAATTTTATATAGGTATGACTGTGTTTCTATGTTTTTAATTTATTTATCTTTAGGTTGTTTTATTTTTTATTGTACATAGTTTTTGATTATTATTTTACTTTTGTTAATTTTATATTTTCTGTATATATGGTATGAATGTGTTATATCATATATCACTATGATTATTGTCCACGTGATAGATTGTTTTATTTCTAAATAAATAAATTAAAAAAATTATTTAAATATAGCATTTCTATATCTACTTCAGATCTTTCCTAACCAAACTGGGATTTTTACAAATCAGTTTAACAAATTTTATAATACCAAATGTATAGAGTATTTTTGTTTTCTTATTAAATTCCTTAGACGTAGGACGTATTACATATTATTAATTATAAGGTTAGACATTATAGCATTTAAAGACAACTTTTAGAAGTTTTCAAATTGCTTTCGTTTATTATAGAAGATTATTTTTGATACTCAACCGAGTGCTTAGGTGGTGGACAATGTACGGATTCATCAAGCTGTAGAAGTCAAATGAAATATACAGAAACTTGCTCTGAGGTATCTTCCTGTCTCCTTACTCTCTTTCAAATCCGGTAGAGAGAGCCTTCTCCAAAATAAAAATTAGGACAAGAAATAATCAAAATTTGACCGAATTAATTCCAGGAGCTTGTATCTGCAATAATAAGTGCAGATTGCAAAATAGACAATTTTAATTTTAAAATTGGTCTTTAAATCCTACAATACCCAACCTTATTATTCGCAACATACTACAATACCCTATCCGTTTGGATAGGGTTCTACAAAAATACTTAAATTGATTTTGAAAAATCATAATTTGAAACTGTAAATTCTAAATTTGGTTTGATAAGTTCTAAATTTAATTTGGAAAATCCGAATTTGGTTTGGAATATTCTAAATTTGACATACTCCAAACATTTCTGCGGGTGAAATATCCAGCATCTATCCCCCACGTCGTATTATTATCAGCAAAACTTTGACGTTTGGCGAATTTAATCTTGGAGTCAAAGACGACGGGATGAAAAAAATCTGAGAAGTGGAAGGGCACTAACTACCCTTGGCAAGTGGAGATAAATTGTCAGTCACTGGGTCCAATGAACCTGCGGCGCCTCTGCAGCTCTTGACGGAACCCATCTTCACCTCATCGCCGCCGTCTTCCTCGTCCGTTCGTTGCGTTTCCTCAACACCCCCTCCCCCTTGTCATATATTTTTATTTATTTATTTTTGGATTTACATATGTTGGGCGGATAATGTTCGTATCAAGGTTTCAAATTGATAATGAAAAATCTGATCAAATCTTCTAAAAATCATTTCATGACTTTTATTAACAGCGATTTTTATTTATTTTTTGCATAATTTAAAAAAAATCACATCCTAATATTTTTTAATGGGATTTTTACAATTAATAAGTAATACTTAATACTAGTAATGTATAAATCAGCAGTATACATTATATAGTACAGCAGTATACAGTATACATGATATATTTTGAATCTGGAATAGTAGAAGGAGAATATTGTTGTCAACTATTAGCAACAGAACATCTTTATTTCCGAAATTCAATAAAAAAATTTTTGTTCCAAAAAAGAAAAAAAAATATATATATATATATATATATATATATATATATATATATATATATATATATATAAATATATATATATATATATATATATATATATATTGTATGGAATATAACTTAAATTAAATTCAGTTTAAATATCTTTTCCTCAAATGTAACCCCGTACGAGAGCTGCGTGTTTTTTAATTTTTGCATGCCTCATGCATAAAACATAATACATGTATCAATCTAAGAGAGTAATTTACTAAAGTAAAATAATTTATCAATTACAAAATATCGAAAAGTTGAAATTTTCCAATTTAAACACATTAAACAAAATCTTAAAATATTTCTTTGGTTATTTTGGAAGAGTTGAAGATCAACTTTAAAAGTAAATTTCTTCATCACATTATTATGTTTCGTGAAAATATCATTTCCCTTATAATAAAATATCATTCACCAGCCAGTTATTTCTAGAACAACTTTTTATTACTAAGTGATTACATAGACTGTCGAAAAGAATGCATTGAAATGTTTGATGAGTTTGTAACTTAATTAAATTATCATTTAATTAAAATTAACATTATTTTCATATCTTCAAACGCTAATTTTTTCTGTCAGGATTCTAATATGAAATTAGTTGAGAGCATAGATAAAAATAAATTTATTATTTTAATTTTTTATAAAATTTTTATTTTTAATTTTTTTATACGAATTGACCATTTAGAATCACGCTACAATTTAATTTCTCCTTCTTTTTCCTCTAGTAATCCTCCATACGATTTATTTTATTTATTATTATATTTTAAAACTACGTGTTGTGCCTTGACTTTATTCTTCGATGGATTACCTCTAATTCTTTTTGATAAATTATATTGAACATGGGTTAAATTATGTAATACTATTTGAATGATATCACATATGCCATAAATAAATATGATTATATATATATATATATATATATATATTTAATGGTATATAATTCCTATATATCTATTACCATAGGTAAATACTAATGCCTAAGTACTAGGGACTTTCTCTGAATTACTTGCATATAATTTAGATCAACATTATCATATAAAAACTTGGATGTTAATAATCAAATATAATAATAATATTGGGGACAGTTATAAACAATAAAATAAAAAAGTGTATTGCTTGACTATCCTTGAGGATAACGTCTTGTCCGGAGCGGAGGTTGAAGGCCCAGTTGGAGTAGTTGGAAGATGACGAAGCGTTCCTCAGACAAGACTCTTTAATGCTGCTCCTTTCGGACAAGAAAACTTTCCTCCAACTCCCACTGACAGAATCCTCTGCAACTGTTCACATTAAATTTTAAAGAACTTCTTTGTTGCCCCCATCCTTCACTAGCGTTATATTTAGTCTATATCCTCTTTATTGTTACCCAAAATCGGTCTTGGTCTTGCACTTTTCTGTTGCAAGACCAAGGCCAAGACTGGTAAAAAAAAATCGATTTTTTGAATAAAAATTGAGGCAAAATAGTTACTAATACTTGACAATTTTAGTTACTATATGTAAAGAATTGGGATAACCAATATACTTTTGCATTTACCTCCTCTAATTTTTCATTCAGATTTATTTAGATTTATCATATCTAAAAAATTACAGTAATATCTCTCTATTAATAAGCTCATAGGTAACAGCAAGACTGTTACGAGAGTCTTGCGCAAGACCAAGACTGATTTTGGAAGACTAAGACTCTTCTCGGTCTCGCATTTGGGCAACATTAATCCTCTTGTGGGTCGGTTTGGCAGTTACAATGGAGGCCGCAATAAATTATTATACTTCACTGTTGCTATTTGTATTAATAAGTCCAAACACACAGACCAATATACATATATTCAGCTCAATAATATTAATTTTCACATTTTCTTAGCCTAAATAATTAAATATTAATTAATTCCAGTGCTAAATTGATGATGGATGATCTTACAAAAAATGAGTGTGGCAGCAGGTTCATCACTTGTGGTGTAAACCATGGAGGAGGGGGGAGGGGAGAGGGTGTAACCAATGTGGTGTAATAGTGATTCAAGATAGAATCTTAAGGAGGGAGTAATACTTCGAAACCTCATGTAATCGGAAAAATCGTCAATTTAGGTGGACAAAAGTAAAGTTGAAATTTAATTGAGTAAAATATTATCATCATTAGGATTAACCCGAAAATTATGCTTGAAAATCTAAAATTAAGTATATTAAAATTATTACAGATTATGTAATTATTGTTTTTTCAGGCCAGATAACGAGAAAAAAATGTGAAAATTAAGAACTTTTCTTTTTTATCTTCTGTCTTAGTCTTTAAATTATCGAAAAATCTCTTACAATTAATTTTAAAAAAATAAAAATTAATACTTATTTCGGTTTATTTTCCTATTAATGTTTGAATGAATTTGTCCATTATTTCATAGCAAGAAGAGATCGTCTATCGGGTGTTATGTGTGGGGCTAATGCGCTTTCATTTCTTGGAGCATAACATTCAAGATGTACTATCACAAGTCCAAGTAATTCAACTCTAAATTCTTACACTGACATATGACAGTGAAAGTTGCTTAGATCGGAATTCCTAACTGTAACTAGCCTGACATGCAGGATATCTTAGGCCCAGTTAATGGACAACTTATCTATTATCTATTATAATGCCCCTTCCATTTAAATAGTGATATATCACATGAGCTGATGTTGCTTAATGACTAACTAATGTAATAGATATTATTAATTTATTGTTAGAATATTATCCTATTATCACTAGTTTAGAAATAAAATTGAATTATTGTAGCTTTAAATAAAATTTAAATAATTGTGTAATCTGTTTTGTTTTTTTGTAATTATTCGACAGATGTCCGTCCGGTTTTAGGATGGAGATAGGAAGCTTATTCCAAATGTTTGCTTATGGTTAGGTTAGGCTATCTTAATTAATTACAATATTTAGTGAATTGCTTTGTTATAAATTAACACATCAACGTTGCTTGAATAAAATTAATAAAAAACAAATCTAATAATTAATAGTTTAAAACGTTATTAGGTATTAAAAATTAATGTTCAACATAAGATTTATTACTGCATAAATATCTATAATGAAAAATACCAAAATAAAATATTTAGATTTTACTTGTAAACCTTTGACTTCTTGTCCTACAGTAACCTTCAATTATACTCCACTTATTCCTGTTGAGCAAATCCGCTACTTAGGACTCCATTTGAATAAACGTCTTACTTGGAATCCTCATACTAGACTGAAACGACAAGAAACTGCTCGACGTTTCCGACTGCTCCAACACTTACTAAGCAAACGCTCCAAACTTTCTATTAATTACAAAAGACTTATCTACATAACTATAATAAGACCTATATGGACATACGGAGTTGAGCTTTGGGGCTCCACCAAACCATCGAATTCCTATCGTATCCAATCCTTACAATCCAAAATCCTCCGTAAAATCCTTAATGCTCCATACTTTGTCACAAATAAAACCATTCATAAAGACCTTAATGTACCATATGTCGCTGATTTAGCCAGATTAGATATCTGATCGAGCCAGATATCTATCCTTTCATGATAAACTTTAGTCCCATCCAAATCCGCTTGTTTCCACTCTTGCTTCTTCCTCGATTCCGGATAATCCTCCTAGGCGTGTGAAAAGGAGATGGCCTCGTGATCTTCTTACTTAAAGTTATTTAGGGAGTGCTATCACTGGGTAGTAACTCTTCAAGCCTGTACATGTCATTATTTATATTTGCTCATATTTACTAGTTGTATTTGTATACAGTTGTAAATTCCATTAAATTAACAAAAAAAAAAAAGATTTTACTTATTTATTTTGGGAAATTCTCTACTATATTTATTTCGTTCAAAGTAGTGTTGACCAAATGCGAGACCGAGACGAGTCTTGATCTTACAAACTCAATCTCTTGGTCTACCGCAAGACCCACTTAACAATCTTGTTGTTACCTATTAGCTTATTACTATAATATTTAGATATGAGAAACCTAACTAAGACTGAATGAAAAATTAGAAGAGTTAAATGCAAAAGTATATTGGTTACACCAATTCTTTACATATAGTAACTAAAATTGTCAAGTATTAGTAACTATTTTGCCTCAATTTTTATTCAAAAAACGATTTTTTTTACCAATCTTGGTCTTGGTCTTGCAACGCATAGGCGGTGTTGGTCTTGGTCATGCACTTTGCTTGGTCTTCCAAGACCAATTTTGGACAACACTAGTTCAAAGTAAATCTTTAAACGAATATTTCGATGTAGAGTTGAACAACGTTAATATATAACCTAAAATTAGGTATAAGTCGGTTGGTGCTGCTACTATCGTTATTTTCCAACAAATAATATCTGTGGTGGGGATCAAGGGTTAAGTCTGATAACCAAGCTTAGGAGTCTCCAAACTTTTTGGCCCGCGGGCCACATTGGGACCTCAACTTGGCCCTGCGGGCCATGAACTGTGATAAAAAAAAATGTCTGTTTAAATAACATTTCAGTTGTGTTTATAAGCTATTTAAGAGAAAGAACTCATGAAATAAAGATGGTAGTAATTTCGTGTTTGAGTTTATTTTACTAAATTTTATATATATTTAAAATTTAACCATGTAGTCAAAGTTGCTAGCGGGATATGGTTTAGAGACCTCTGGGCCCGGCATAACCGTAACCTAAATGTAAACAAGCATTGAGAATAATTACCAAATAAAACATAATTTAATTTATAAACTCATGAAAACGGGCATAATCCAGTCCATCCTGAGGAATGGAATGTTTGTTTGAAATAAAGATAAACAGTTTTCATATTTAAGGCTCGTAAAATCCACTTTAGCTAATAAAGCGCTTTGAAACATTTTGGCTGTAAGAATCTTCGGACAATTAGTTGTCCTGGACATGAGGAAGGCTTATCTTTAGAGAGATGGCCACTACCACACGTAAGATCGTTCTGGGTATGGGCGGTTATGGTTTGGGTTGAAAACAGTTCCTGCAAAATTTGAGTATCACTGGAGACGCTATCCCAGAGAATATACGAGCCTTTCAGTTGACAGAATGACTAACTCTAATTTCAACATTTTTGAGTAAAGTCGTTTTAGTTGGAAAATGTATAATTTCTGTACAGACAGTGTTGAAATATAAAACTGCGAATAAATTTTTAAATTTTCCCACAAGAAATATCATTAAAATTAATATTTAAAAGTGTTGAAATTGGAGTTAGTCATTTTGTCAACTGAAAGGCTCATATGATGCTTCATTTCTTTTAGACGACATCCTGATCGGCGGTCGGAATAGGAGTGTGCAGTTTAAATATAAAAAATCCCCGCCTCCACTTCGAGGTCCCCATTCGCCCCGGATTCGCCACCTCCTATTTATTGTCCTTGCTTGGCAACTACTTTGCTTTCAGAGTAGCCTTCTTGCATTGCTTCATGATATTCTTCATTGTCATTGTATTCGAAATGTGAGATAAAGATCAGTTTCCTTAATTTATTCTGTTGCGTTTAATTAATTTCCATTATATGTTTAGTGCAGGATCCCAGCCTGTTCTCGTTATTTTGCGTAAAAAAATAATAACTTCCTCTGACTGTTTCATTTCCATTTATATTTTTAAAACATGCCATTACATTTTGAATTTTTTTTTTAATTTTCGGGTCTGATTTTATACTTATCAGGGAATAAATTAATTTAACCTTTTATTCAATATTTTATCATTAATTAATTAATAATGTTCCTATTATGCACATTAGTTATTTTTGAAAAGTTATATAGTCACATTTATCAGTTGATGCACCTTGAATTTCTACATTTAGTCAGATCCTTATTAAAAGAGATGTTTTTATTTTAATAAATATTATATGCGTTTATGTCATTCCATTTTGAAATGAACGGCATCAAATATAGTAAACAGAAAAATTTAATTTAAATTAAACTTCTAATTAATCTTCTTATTGTGGCATTTCTAGGTTGATATTCCTTACTATCAGATTTTCTATGCTTTAGAATAATACAATCTGGAATTTCACAACTTTTTTTTAGGTACGGTTCTTTGATATTGTCCTTAGTTACTAGCCATATATTTAAAAAAAAAATCTTTACGAAAATCCAGGATTTCAGTGCATTATTCCTGTTTTTTGTTAGTTGCACAGATGTTTTGTTATTTTAGTATCTTTCATCCAACACAATATAATCAATCAATGCAAATTTCTCTTGTCTCATCTAATTGACAATGATATCATTTATGTTGATATCGAAACAAACCAATTTATTGCCGTTGAAATAATTATGAATTAAATAGAAATTACAAGTAATTTAGTGGTTCG